ATCTGACCACGGTGCTCCAGATGATACAATGATGCTACTGAATTTTCAGGGAGGGGCGCAAAGCTCTGGAGTTTACCAAGACTGCATCAATCGTCAATGACATTTTCACTATCCTCCCAGACCAGAGAAGGCTGCTGGCATGCTGGTCGAAAAGTTGCTTGCAATGATCCCTACTTTAGGGCAAGGATGGCTCTGTGATCAAGTTGCAACTCTGGAGGAATATTAAGAAAATCTGCAACTCATTCCAAGCATAGGAGGTCACAATTCAGAGCAGGGTCTGTGGCCCTGAAATTGCATTGGGGACTAGATTGGGTTTTTGCCCAATCAGTCCCCTGTTGTATAGATTAAAATTATTGCATGATTATATACAATATGGCCAACAAGAAAAAGTCATAAAATGGTTCGGATTTTGTTTGGTATGTCTAAAATTTTCATTCAATCGAATAAAAAACAACGTGTTTTTCATTTAATTTTTATTTTAAATAAATATAACGTCAAGCATTTCATAAATATTTAAGAAAATTGATTATTGTGTTTGTTTTGATTATTGTTTGTTTTTTGATGCAATTTTCCCTTTCCTTGATGGACTTTCTTTTCTAACTTTATCCAATCGTTCTCGAATGACTTTATCATACCAATTAGCATAAACTTCTCGATTATAAAGCGCCAATATGAAAATCTTTCGACTAAATAAACGGATAAAATAAATAACATTCGCAATTACCATCATTAAACATCATCATATGTATATCGTCATTAAATGTATTAATACAAGTTACAAACCTGAGTTGTTCCAATTCTTTAGCAACAGGAAGAACGCCATATTGAGATAAAGTTTCCTTTTTCGGAAATTGTCCCGTTTGAAGATGTTGCTTGATTATACTTTGGATCCTACGCGAAAGAAGCGAAAAGACTTTATCCGACTGGGAGAGAGTTTTGGAAACCATGGATTTGACAAGTGATTGGGTTTCAGATGAAATGTTCGATGGGAAATGTGACAAAATTTCAGTTGTCAAATTGTCCATTTTTATGTCACGATCCATCAATAATACAAAAAGATTATTTTTCAATGTCTCAAGTTCCCCTTCGCTAATTGAATTTGCAGAGGAACCGATGGCAATGTTCTTGGTCAACATAAGCAATACGGCTACAATGGTGATTGCTTGACCTTCATTTTGGAAGCCCCAAAGTCTTTCTGTATCCAACAAGAAAGTTTCAGGACAATTATTTTTTTCAATTAATGCTTGCTGGAAAATATACGAGACCAGAGCTTCGTCATATACTTGAGCAAACTTGATACCATGATTACGTTGATTTGGCAACAAGACATTTTCAGGATTGCGCTCAGCCACTGTACGAAGAAGTGAATCGATGGTTGGTTGTAGCCAAATTTTTGTTCGCTCAAGACTCAACCGATTCGACTCTAGAGCTTGTTCAAATTTACGTCTTTCATAATCAACAGCATGTTCTTTCAGATAAGGTCTATGTGCTTTCAGACGATAATTTGCGAGGTCTAGCCTCATCAAATCTAGGATTTCTAACAGTCTTTGGAAAATTTCTGAAAGCTCGGTCATGTTTTGGAGTGATTGAATTTGTTCATCACGAACTGGTGCGCAGATTTGTAACATCATATTAGTAATAAACATAATACAATTACGTATATTATATACACCTGCTTTACTCTGTTGAGTAATCAATTCAATATCAAGTACTTCATTTACAGATGAATACATTGGTGAATTAGGCGGTATCAATTCAACAAGTCTCTGTTGTAAATTATTATTACGATTCGTTTAAAAAAAAATCAATATATATCTTGAAGTTTCACAACATGATAATGCCAATTTTAAGGAAATAAATTTTACCTGTTTAATATCATTTAAAAGATTAGGCATACACCGATCAAATTTACCCTTTTCAAAATCTTCTTTTATAGAATCAAAATAAGCCTTTTTAGCCATTTTATGAACACGTTCTTCCAATCCGGACAACTTTGATGGTTTCAACTCAAATTCAGGATCAATAATAATTTCGTGAATAAGTTGCTCATTTGTCAATCCTCCTGCATCAGTTGGTATCTCATAACTTTCAATAAGGTGTTGAAGTTCTGCATTAATATTAGATTTCGATGGTGATGATGATGGTGATGAGGTAGTGACAGACCTTGACTTAGTTCCCGAGGAAAATGATTTTTTAGATACCTTAGCTTGCAGATTAGGTGGAACAAATGGTTGTCTTGGAGGTGCACCCAATTTATTGTCGTCATCATCTTGTTCATCACTTTCTTGGTCAGTGGTCATACCATTCACAGAATCAGAAGTATCGGTATCACTATTATTACTAGCACCACTCTGTGAATTTTCTTTTAAACGTTTAAGTGCTCTTTCCAACTTGGCAGTTGCTTCGTCACCACCTAAATTTTTAATCTTTCTTCTAATCTCTTCTTGTTGATAAATAATATTGTTTTTCCATTCAGTTTCGGCATTGGCTTGGTTCTTGACTGTGTTCCATAGTTTTTCTAATTCCATATAATGCGCAATCAAATTGTTGGCTAGTTTTTCAGAATCTTTTGATTTCCATAGATTAAAATCTTTGTAGTAAGTGTCCCATGCTGAAAGGAAGTTAAGAAGCCCGTTGTAATGTATTTTATTATGCTTGTCATTACTAACGGAATTGAGCCATTTTTCTAATGAATTCACCATAACTTTAGTTGATTTCAAAAGAGTCTAAAAAAAAAACAAATGCATAGGTGTAAGTATGTAGGTATGCATATATATTTTTCAAGGACAAAATTATCTCAATTGTACATACTCTCTCATAGTATCCAATATCAATGAGGATTTCTTTTGTGTGTGATACAATCATGTAGGCACTTAGGAAAACTTTTGCAGGATTTTTATATTTACCAGTTCCCATGGTCATTCGAGAAACTTTGGTGACTCTCTGCAGGAATTTACTAGTGGTTTGAATAACAGCAGGTTTTTGTAATAATTGGACAGTGTTATGAAAAGTCATGTTTTCAGTGGTATGAAGTGAAATATCAAAGCTACGATAAGTTTCAATAAGCCTGATGAGTTTATGATAGCGCCAAGAATTTTGAATGATCGATGCAGCTTCTTCACGAGTGGGTGGACTAGTATCATCACTAGAGAGTAGACGTGATTTAGGAACCGTGAGAAGTCTAGCACGACGAGCAGCAGTAGCACGTTGTCGACGTTCCATATCAGCGCGACGTCTATCAATTTCTTCTTGATTCTTGAGTTGTTGTTGACGAGCAACTTCTTTGCACCTGGCAACTTCTTGAGCACATTGTTCTACCAAACGTTGGAGAATGGTATTTCTGTTTTTTTCAGCCATTTTCAAAGTTTCTTGAATGTGGGAGCGTTTAGCTGAGGAATCATGAAGAGCTCGTTGATGTTGTTTAACGAGAACATTTTTCACATGTAAAAACTGACGAGCCAATTTAAGACGTCTTTGTTCAAGCAAGGCTGCTTTTTTAAGTTGAGCTTCCTCTGTTGAATAATGAAACAATTTGTTGTTGTTAATGTTATTATTGTGATTACGATCGTGACAATGAACGTGTGAAGAATTAGATTTTTTAGATTTCATTCTTCTTTCAAGATGAAATGGTCTCTTGCTTGCATGATGAAGAGGCAAAACATCAATAACATAAAAACCAGAGTCAGTTTTATGCATCGTAAAACAGTGTGTCTGCGAATGCACTTACTGTTAATTAATGGTAATTAAATAAATATTTATTAATCATTTTTTATTTTAAATTTTTTATTTATAAATATGTGATTATAATTTTCAATTCTCACCTTCAAATAATAATAAATGGTATATAGTAATAAATAACAATAGCAATAATTATAAAAAAGTCTAATGGTAAGAATTAAAAAGATTTGTAATGAAGCATTTTCGTAAAATTAGAAAGCTTATTTGCAATGAAACATTTTTCACAAAATTAGAAAGCTTATTTCAAATGAAAAGGTTACCTTACTAATTCAGTCTTAAAAGAAATATTTGACACGCAAACCGAGTTTTTAACTGCTAAGATAAAGGAATTTCTAATACTAAAGAAAATATTTCACCAAATTTACAAAAAAAAAAGAGAATAGAGTAATGATAAATATTTTTTACAAAGATTTTTTTATTATAAATTCTTGACAGTTTGAAGAATTGGTCATTTTATCCTGGCGTGGTACGATTAGTATACATTTGATTAATCAATTATTATTAATATGGAATATCATATTAACTAATTTTACCATATTAATATTATTATTATTACTATAACAAGTGTTACCATATTAATATAAATATTATAATCGGGCTGAAGATCTAGTCCCTATAGCTAATTGTAAGCCATAATCACTGTGCATACCCTGCCACAATTAAAATGACATCAGAGGTGAATCATAACCCAGGAAAGTTCCCTTATAAATGGATATTGCAAGTAATGTGTAAAAAGTTCCTAATATTACAGGGCAGCATCCACATCTCAATTCCAATGTAGATAGACTGATATGCAGACTCTGATAGATCAGAATCTTGACACATATCAACCACCCATCACACAAGGAACAGACCGGAGATTTCGGAACTCATCAATGTGTAGTGTTTAGAAAGTTCATGGTGGAGTTGCTTGATTGGGCTCACGTGTTATTTACATCGCCCAATTCTGCTACTGTTCTAGCATTACCATCTTGCACGAACATCAAAGGTCTTTTTTGTTTGTTGATCTTTGATTTTCCATCACAAACGACGCCAGCGACGTTCACCATAAAAGTCAAGATAAAATGGACACAAGAAAGGTAAGAACCATATTCATAGACATTAGCGACAGTAGATGTTGGGGTTCCCAAGTTTTATTAGGTGATGAAGATTATGTAAGTAATATGATTAAAAGATATATATTCATTGTGCAGAATATGCATTTATTATTTACTCATTCTACAATACTAGGTTTTTAAAATAGGACGAAGTTTGAGCAATACATGATCAGATGGAAGTTTGATTCTAGTATGATATTGACAACAACAATAATAATTAATGGATAATAATGATTTTGATTTTTATTCACTCAAAGAAACCCATTCTAATATTGATCATGTATCAATGGAAACTTCCATAAACAAAGCAGGTCGTGGTAGAGGAAACGATAATAGTAGAGGCAAAGATAATGGTGAAGCTAGAGGTAGGGGTTACGGTAACAATGGTGTTAGAGGTGGTTAGATAAATGAATAAAATCTACATTTATTTTTTAATATAAATTTTATCTTGATAGGAAACGATGATCTTTGCTCTTTCGGCTATTATTTTTATAGATTGCGCGTAATAATGCACGATTAATAAATAATGTGTTACTATTATTATTATTATATATAATAACATATGATGGTGATGTTATTAATGTATAATAACGTATGTTAATTAATCTAAAATAAGTGTGTAAATAGACAGTTATATAATTATAAATAATAATAACATTGTGAGATTGTATGCGGGTTAATTCCAACATTGTTTTCATATTTTTTTATTAATATTTTTAATGCGGACTATGTCAAAAGATTAAAAAGTGAAATTTCTTTATAAAATTCTCGAGAACAAATACAAACAAGAATAGAAGATTATTATAATGATAATGTTAACATTTTAAACGAATGAATGCATTTTCTTATATATAGTGCCAATCATTTAAAGACATCACAAATCTCATACTTTACTCATACTTTACTAAATATGGGCTATTTTACCAAAAACTCCCTATTTTTGCAATCTTTCTAGACATGAAAAATAATGTAATAGGAGTTGTTTTTTGTAAAAAAAAAAGTTATAATGGTTTGAAATTTCGGCAACTATAGATGGGCGTCTAATTGTTTTTGGGTTTGTCTAAAGTCAAAATAAGACAAAAAATGTCTAAATGTCTAAATTAATAATCCATTTTAGACAATCATAGTCTCGATCGTCTAAATGTCTAAATTAATCTATATTTTAGACATTGTCTAAATAATTTAGTTTAGACGCCCATATCTAAACTGATTATTAATAAATATTCACGTGACAAAGTCACAGATCTCTTACAAATTTGGATTTATTTTATATATTGTTAATATTAAGACCAAACCAACCTAAATCCGACTTTCAGGTTCGGGTCGGGCTAAAACATGGGACCCAACCTGATGCAGCCTCTAGTTGGAATTACGCATTTGATCTCGTGAATTTCTGTTGCCATTTACTAAATGAAGAATCAGGGTTCAGTTCAACTTCTTATCAAACAATTGTTTGGTAGGTTTTCATTTCTTGGAGGTATTTTTTTCACAAAGATGCTTTTTACAGATGCATCATCAAGAGCTTGATTTTAGGACAACGTCTGTTGCACTTTCGAGTGAATATATTGAATATGAAGAAGGTATTGCGAATGTGATTTAGAGAGTTTGTCAATAATCTTTAAAGGAAGGGAAGGGGATCTCGAATTTTCAAGTTGGCGATGAAATGATTTATGATGGAGTCGATGTGTTTTTTTTTTTTTGGTAAAGGAAATTTGCTGAATATTGAATAATTTATGCTTTAACCATTTTTTAAGTCGATTACTGAGATTAGTTGTTGTGTGGTTCTGACAATTTGTAACATATTGGTTGTGCGAGAAGTCTCCCTAATGATTTTTTATTTGTTCAACTCATTCCTTGAGATCGATATTGTGTGTCGAATGTTATTTATGGTGGGTTATTTGGCGGCGTCAGGGGTATTTTGGTATGTAGTTACAGCTTGGAAACATTCCCGCACATACTTGAAAGCACCTTCGCTTGCGTTGAAAGGAAATTGATCACCAAGGGATACGTGATACGTGATAAAGTGCTGTTTGGTTAGCCTACCAAGAGCCTTCAAAAACAACTCGAGCTCTTCTTTCAACAGCATTTTGGATTGTAGGTTCAAGATATTTATCTTTAAGGAATCCTTCTAGTCCAGTTTTGACTGTGCATTGTTTGTATTTTGTGCCTTTTTTTGAACAGATTTGCACGACGTTTTTGAAATTTATAACGACTGCTTGAGAACGTGGATGATCGGTCCCTTACAAGTTAGACAAGGACGTTCTAGACATTTAGAAAAATATATTATTTCTAAAAAAAAAAATAGAGGCAGGTAAATGGTAAATATTTACTTGGTTTTTTTTGTTGTTTTTTGTTTATGTCTTCATTTACTTTAGGAGATTCTGCATATCTGTTTTTACATTTTTGTGTTTTTTTTTTTGGAAATCTATACTTCAACATCGTTGATTCCCTGCCATTTGTAGTGTATTTACATTGAAATGGTGACAATGCTTGAATTAAAACGGAATTGACAAAATTCTTTTGATTAAATAAATTAAAATGTAATCAAACAAAAATGTTTTAATTCTTTTGATTAATTTGATTAATGGGAAATTGCTGAAATAACAACAGTTCATATTACATGCAACATCTAAAGAATCACTTTTCAAAATACACTCTTTGCTTTAATTATTGTAAAATACAAGTCCTCTTTTACAATCTAAACATCATCGTCGAACAAATTGTTACACTTTTTCATAATTTATAAATTGTTAACGATTACGATTTTTATTCATTCTTTATTGAACGTGTACATTGTATAACAATTAACAAGTTTACAAGCGAGAAGCTAAAAAATGACGAGAAAGTGTCACAAATGCAGAGTTTCTATCGCAATACAAGTTCTTATTTGTTTTATTTGAATCATTATTATTCGTTTTATTCGTTTTATTCGAATAGAAGAAACCCTATGTCGATATAATTAATGTCTTATAAAAATTTCTTTTATTATTATACACTATGTCTTATTCGTTACCAATCTAATTGAATTTTAATATTTTTATTCGTTTCTAATTGATAGATATTACGTAATTTCTAATTATTCTTCATTGTTATATCTTTAATATTGTTGTATGTGAAATTGAAATATTATGGAGTGGGGTGAAATTTTGATTGGCTAATTTGAATCTCACATGTAAATTTGAATTTCACATATGTGAATTGCGAATTCACATAATTTCATGTTCACGTACAACAATTATCATTCAAATTGGACGTCGCAGTGGGTACGTGAGCAGCACAAACACCAAATTATTTACGATGGAGCTGTCATTATCATCGTCATCAATGATAATTGTTTGGATGAAGGAAATCTGGAAAAACCACCTCGAGGAGTTTTCCATCCTGAGCATTTTTTGCGAGACTTTTAAAAATCATCAATTATTATTACATATATATTCTATGTTGTTCTCTCGTATACAAAATAAACTAATGTGCCTTTCTCGAAGTCGGCTATTTTATAATCGGTAAAGCCCCCTTTCTCTGAATGTGGTCAGGCTTGATTTATACAGAACGCTCCCACTCATCACATTTTCGGCGGAAGAGACAGTCTTGATGAAGCATGTAGGTGATATCAAAAGATGCTGTAAAGATATGATTGTACATTAAAAAATTTGCATAGATAAAAAAATGGAAGAATGTTTTTTTTCAATTCGGATTTTTTTCTTTTGATTAATATTCTTCATTTATATTTATTTTTCGTTGCTCGAATTAGACATAATTTACATCAATTTGTGTGTACATGGAGCCTACCCTTAACTATCCCTTCACTTGCTTTCTTTTAAAATAAAAAAATGAGCAATTGCGGCGTACCACAACCACTCCAACTACAAAAAATTACGCGCTCGAGATACCCATCAGGATATTCGGAGTAGTAGTCACCAGGCGTTGTGCAATACCAGTAGTCATCACCCATACCGCCACCTTCTTGGTCATGGCAGTACCGCGCCAGGTAAGTATGAAAATCAAATGTCACAAAACTAGTTTTATTGGAATTTTATATTTTGTGTGACTTGTTATATTATTAATATTAATAAAATGTCTTCACCAAGACCAAAAGACGTCATAATAAAAAAATAAAAATGAAGATAGCCATATAAAAAAACATCACAAGGAAAAAGTCATAAACGACAATGAAATTCTGATAATGATTCAAATGAAGATATCAAATATCCAAAAGGATTTATATGTATTATAATAATAGTTAATATATAGTTTAATTTATTAAAACAAGATTTGATTAATAGCAAAAAAGTCTATTAATTCATACACAAAGACTCATGCTATCATTATTTAGATATATCAGAAGATGATTATTATTCAAAATCAACAGAATTTCATCTTTGGCTGAGAGAATATAAAGATAAATTTTTTTGATGAAATGAAAACTGAAAAAGCTCATTGATACTTTAGAAAATTTGTGAATAAAGTTAAATTAGACAGTTAGTATGTACACTTGTATAAAGTTTTATAATTAATCTTTTTATTATGAAGGAATGCGTTCTTCACAATTAACTAATTCAGAAGGTACTAGATATAAATGGAATATTAATGCAAATCGGGATGAACTTGATGTTATTAAAAACTCTGTAGATAGGCAAAGTTTGTTACTAAAGTACAAATGAGGGTCAACAAATAACAGGAGTAATATTCATGGTATTAATAGGGGTAATGATGAGTCAAGACCTTCTATAATAATAACGTTCACAAATTAGATATATTTAATGGATTAGGATTTCTCATTATTGTTATTAATATAAATATTTTTCCTTAGGCCCAACAATGCCACCTCCAACAACTAAAAGATCTTATGAAGAAGGTGTATTTGTCAGACTTTAAATATTCTTTTTTATTCTCATAATAAACTAATTAAAAAATTATGTATGAATGTTTTAATTCTTATTGAGATTTTCAGGAATGGATGGAGAGGATAAAGAACATTATGAATGTTCTTTAGAAAAAAAAAGGAATAAAGTGAATTTAGAAAAACTCATAATACTGTTTTGGATGAATTGTTTGTTACCAAACCTACAGGTAGTATTATTTATCTATATACTTTTACAAATTATATATAATATATAGGTAGAGAAGCAATTATTGAAAAGAAAAAAGTCAAAAATGCATGCTATAGAAGAGAAACAAGTCCAGATGTTGAATGATTTAATTGGTGGCGGTGATGATTTTCAAACAAGGTAAAGTTGGAATTAGGACAGGCATGCGTGTATGATATGATGTGCACGTATTTAATTAATCATAAATTTTTGAAAAAAATAAATTAGACTTACCTCTCATAATCGATCAAAAGAAATGAAAGAAAAAAAAACAAGAGTATAAAGCTGAAAAGCGGAAAGTCTAAAAGAAAAGGCTATTGACTACTAAGCAAAAGAAAGAGATACTATTGAAATGTTTAAAAGAATGGTTAAAGAACAACGTAAGGCTGGCAAAGGATTATGGGTCAAACTGATAACAAATAATAGATAAAAAATTTATGAAATACATATAATATATAGGTAAAGTCATATTTTAAATTTTAATCAATTAACAATAACAAGTAGAATCCTTTTACTTTATTGTAATATAAATAACATATATAAATAAATTATAATTTATCAATTTATTTGGAGGAACAATTATTATTGTTATATATCAAATTTACTGAATTGATATAAGCAAACTTTTTTCTTTTGTTTATTAATTGATTTTTTCTGGAAATATTATACCCAGTTTTATTTTTGAATTCCTATGAGGGTGACTTGTTATAGAATTTGGGATCTCAGGCAAAACTTTCCACTTAACTATTGTATACAATTGCAAGTTGTAATTTCTGCCAACTTTGACAGAAAATTTTTTTGGTTTCAAATCCTCTGTTAGTGCATCATCGCCCATGACGGTTTAAGTCCTTAAAAATCAATTCCAAAAGATGGAATGAATCCAATTATATATATCGTACTTGGGTGTTAGGTATATAAGAACTATTCTTTCCATACTTGTGTAGCTATGCTTTCATTATCCATATTCAACTTGGAATGAATTCCTCACACAAGGTGCTTCAAAAGACAAAGAGCCCAAATGCAAATATCAGAACACATTGTTTGCTTTATCCCCCTTTGAATCAATTCATATAGCCTATAAGTGCGGAGGTCAGTTTAACTTGATTTCTGTAAAAGAATGAATTAAATGCTATATAAATGCTATATAAATGTATTATTTAACAAAATGATTTAAAGTTCTGAATTTTTTCAAAACTCTTCCTTGAATGAATATTGTGTTCAATAATTTTCAGGAGTGGTGTAATTATTACCAATATTTAAAATGCTAAGGCTTGATAATCACATAGGAAAGAATATTTTTAATATTTCCCTCAAAAACAACGCTATTGTTTATCTTCGAATGCCGGAAAAGCAAGCAATCATTTACAGAGTAAAATTGATACTGAGCTAAAGACAACAAGATCAAGTGCTACTACAAACAAGAACAATAAAGTTTTTCATTCATTTAAAAAGACACAATAAACCATATTTTTTATTTTATAATGATGAATTGTTCTTTGTTTACTTTTTTTTATGTAGTTGTAGAGCTCGAATTTAGAAATTGTTTAAATTCTTCCACTTCTTTAGGAGGATTTTCAGGTATAACTATAATACCATCAGGAAGATTTAATGGCACATCATCGTCATCATTATTCATATCATCATCATCATCATCATCATCAAATCCATTTAATAATGGATCATCTTTTTGTGTTGGTATCAAATATCTTTTTCAAATATTATTATTAGTTCTAAAAATAAACTACCCAAATTATAATAATAGTAATAATAAAATAAATAATAATAATCACATTGTATCTTTCCAGAAAGAATTACTTAAATCAGGTACTTTAATAAAACAATTCTCCTGTTTCATATGTTCCAATAGTTTTTCTGAATTCTCAAATGATTGATTACATGCCATACATGAATTATTTAATGTTTTGTGTCGAATATAATTTATTAATATGATTGTTTGATAAAAATCTAATCCTGCAAATTTTTTAAAAATGATCCTATTGATGGTTAAGAAAGAAGAAGATTATATAAAATGAGATGATAACATCTGCAGATATACAATTACCCATATTTTTTTTGATTTTTAATAAATCAAATCCATGAATATCCTTCATGTGAAATTTAGTATCTTTGGTAGATGGTGAAATTGTTTCACAAAATAAACATAACGTTGGTTGTAATTCTTCTTCATTCCAATCACCCCAAGAACTTTATATAAATTGTGATTCGTCACGTAAGAAATAAATAAATAAATAAATTAACATGATAATGTGACTTACTCATCTATATTAGGATCTTCATCAGAATCGTATTCTTTTTCAAATTCTTCCCAATCTTTTGAAGGATCCTATTTATCGCCATCATCATCATCATCATTATTATTTATGATTAATCATCATTATGATTATTATTATTTTACTTACTAAATATCCAGATTCTTCATTACACAGTCCATTATTTGAAACAGTTGTCATGATTATCCTTTTTTTTTTTTGTAAGAAAAAAATCTAAATATTTTTCCACCCAATCAAATTTGTCGCCACTAGTAACGGTCCATAGATATCACATGATTTTTCTTATAGATAAAATTTCTATTTTAGTTACCTTTTTCCTAACTGCGTTAGTCATGATGCCTCCATGAAAAGATTAAAAGCAAGGAAAAAAATTAATCTATATTTCTTTTATCTATTCATTTCCTATTTCATCTTGTCTATTCATCCAACTATTTGAGCAACATTGAATTTAAATATAAAAATATTAAACGAAAGAGGCTATGTCACACACCCAACATACGATTGGACGGCACTTCAATAAATCCGTTTTATTTATCATTAACAAACACATTAGATAAACAATAAATTTGATTTTTACTTAATAATAATATAAATAAAAAATAAATAATGTAAAATTTATTATCGTTGTTGGAGCATTTAATTTGATCATGTTTATCTGTTAAGATAATTCTATGACCAGATAATAAAGCCCTTGTTTTTTTGTTCTCCAGTAAATTTTTTTGGTGCTATTAATACATCAATCTCACCTAGCTGGTAGTTAGACAACACGCTTTCCAAATCACGCGCGTAAGCCGGAACCCAGTCAACAGCCAGCTTTCGGACAAACAAGGACGTTCACAACAGGCAGTCTACCGTATATTGGGCCTGATTACCCAATTGGTGGCTTTCGCAGGCTGTGGCCACGAAGTGCTTCCAATTCTCCATTTTTAATCCTAGTGGCAGAGTAATTTCAAATATATAACAATTCAATAAACACTCAGTGAGAAAATACTCACACTCTTTATAACATTCTATATCCTCTTTCAACAAACTTCCTTTTCAAAAATATTTCCTTTCGCGACGGACATTACTAATATTGATATTAAAATTAGATTTTGGATTTAAATTATAAACTCACCTTTTGATATGATTTGTTTTTAAAGGAATGACGCTTTTCTATTTTTTATGATTGTTTAAGGAAATTTGTGACATTAAATTATACATGTGAGGAGGAGGACATTAGAATTTTTAATTATTATCCAATTACACGTGTGTGTGATAATGGTTTTTCACCTTCTCAATCTTTTAAAAAGTGATATTGAAAAATAATCTGAGCTTTTAAGTGAAAAGATGATACCATTTTTGGATTTATGTCGAGAATAAGACCCTTCGATATTCATTAGAAAGGTTTAATGGAGTAATTTCATTTTACTTTAATAATAATATTCTTTCTGTGATACGAATTTATTTATACTGCATTCTGTATTTATAATATATATATATATATTAATGCAAAAAAAGCATCTCTAGTCGTTAATAAATAACACTTCTTCTTCGGAATCATTTTACACCAAATAATAACGCTATTATATATGTTTGTCAATGAATGCATCGTCCTGGATTCTTTGTTTAAAATTGATTGTTTTTCCAAAAAAAAATATTGATTCGCGCGTCTCAAAAAAAAAAAAAGTGTTCATTTGATGATTTTTTCTATCAAAAAAAAAAATTTTTTTAACAAAGATAGAAAAGAAGAAAATGCTCGTGTATAATGGATGATGGTTTTACAAGCTATTCTAGTTATAAATATTATTTCTTTTAGTTTTAGCGACACCTTCACAATTAATGTTGATGGTGATGACATTCTCTTTTAAAGCTCCGAATGAGCCAAGCTCGAGTTGATGTTATAAAAATTTTTCTAGGTAACAAATGATTAATTCTACTATTCCATATTACTTTTTTTTTTATTTACGCACATTATCTAAAAAACAAATTCATTAAAGCGAATAAACGGACGATTCGAATGATTCGAATAAACGGATAAACGAATAAAAAAAAAACTGAATAAACGAATAAAACGAATAAAAATACCAATCAAAACGAATAAAATGAATAAACGAATGATTCGATGAATAAAAAGAATAAAAGAATAACGATAATTTGAATAAAACGAATAATTCGAATAAGAATTTGTATTACGAATAGAAACTCTACATATTAATATTAATATTAATAACGCTAACAAAAAAAGTACAGTTGCACAATTCATTGTTTTAATAAATATCAATATCAAATTATTTATAGGTTCGAATCGAGTCGAATTGGTTCGGCTCGAATTTCATTGATTAGTTCGGAGCCTTGATGACATTATTCAAGGTAACATACATTGTGATTTTTGATTTATTTATTGGATATAAATTATAGATTTATAATACAAAGGAAATTTGAAAAACTAGGGAGCGAGAATGATTCAATTAAATATATCATCTATCAAACTAAGTGTAAATAATCTTTAGGACATTCTTCACTTTGTTTTGTTGAGTATTTTTCAAAATCAATTAATTACTTTAATAATAGTTTGAGAATCAGGAAATAAATAATTCTTAAAATCTATTCATCACTCACTGTACCTTTCTTATTTCATTTTTTTATTGTTCTCAGGTAATTGATGCGTTTGAGCTCTCTCTCCACAGGAGTATGTGATAAAATTGTTTATTTAATTTTTCTTTAGTATTTATGTCAAAAAAATGTTTAGGAATGTCAATCACATGGGCGGATTACCAATTAAAAAATGTTTATTTCTTTCTTCCTCTTCTAATTCAAATACTAAATTCCATAAATAATTGGAAACTTCATATTCATCTGATGCATTATCTATTATTGCAACATTGATATCGTCATTTCCTTCTACAATAATAATAATAATTGTCATAGTTGTAGGAAAAATAGAATAATGATGATATAAATAAATTATATTTACCAATTATTACTTTTAATTTTTGAGTATTTGGATTTTCAAAAAAACGAATTCCCAATTTACGAAACAATGCCAATATAAGTCTTTATAAATAAATAAATACAAGTCTTTAGTATTTTCTCTCTCATTAAATCAATCAACAACAATATTGTTAATTACTAACAAAGAGTAATCTTCTTTTTTCAATCCTTTAGCATCAAAATCTTCTTCTAAAACTTTCGATTCTTTTTCTAAATTTTCATAATCTAAATTTAAAATTGTATGTTCATTAAAAGAGTCAAGAACAAATAATTATTTATTTATTGTAATAACACACAATTAACTATTGATGTAAAAGGATATTGGATTTCTTCATCTAAATTTGATATTGATGACAGCAAATTAGATTTGATTGATTCGTGATTATGTTTACCAACTTTATTATTATTATTATTATTATTATTATTATTATTATTATTATTATTATTATTATTATTATTATTATTATTATTAT